TCACAAAAAAAGCAGAGTTGGCAACGAAGTTGATGTATTTATTTTTATTGATTTTATTGAACTATACAATTTTCTCTGCTCCCCTCCCTGCCTCTGCCCTCTCCTTCAACACTCTCCCATGGTCCCCATGCTCCTAATTTACTCAGGAGATCTTGTCTTTTTCTACTTCTCATGTAGATTAGATCTATATATGTCTCTCTTAGGGTCCTCATTGCTGTCTAGTTTCTCTGAGATTATGATTTGTAGGCCGGTTTTCTTTGCTTTATCATATATACTCACTCAAAGGTGGTTTTTAAACATAAAGTTGGCCTTTTTTTTAACTTTTAGTAAACTTTTTATGTTGACTTTTGCCACAAAATCTGCTGTTTAACCTAGGACTTATTTTTTATTTCTAACAATATAGCGGGTTTTTAATACATGCATACTCAATTTAATAGCTATTCTATGTAATGACCAAATAGTCATGCAGGATGATTAAGATTCCTATCACATTCCTCTGGCATAAATTTATTCTTTTTGTACATCACTAAAGACCACATTAAAACTTCCTGGAAGACGGTGCTACAGTATTATAAATAGAAAGATAGGGAAACCTCGAGCTACTGGGTAAAACTTTCTTGTATCAATTGTGTATATGAAGCATATCAAGTCATTGTTTTTGAGAAGAGAGTATGTCTATCTATACATGAGAATCTGGAAACAAAACTACAGACATTGAATATGAAGACCTGTGAAGAAAAATAGAAATGTCATGTGACCCTATGAGGGGACAGAGACAGGACACTATGCAACACTTGCAGATCAAGTTCTGGAAGAAACAAGTAAATTCATTTTTTTTTATCTACTAGATGGGCAAGAATAAGGAAGAATTTGGAGAATAAAGCCATAAATAATTAGCGATAGGCTTTGTGTCCAGAAGGAAGAGGGAGTGATCCACAGAATATTGTCAGAATGAGTTCAGGCAGTCGGGAGGAACATTTCTCTGAAGCCAAGAGAGTGGTATGATATGTAGACTGAGAACTCCTTGATATCCCAGGTGACTGGATCGCTGAGTGAGGCACACCAGGCAATGGGCAAGAAGTAAGGCGAAGGGGAACTTTGACAAAGATAGATCATCTGGAAAGGTCAGGACTTCAGGAGCGACGGCTCACTGCCGGCACGTAGATTAGACAAACTAGGTCAAACGAGCCTGGGAAAGCACAGACGGGGATGCTCCTTTCCTCCTGGAAGGGGTGTGCCCCACTGGCTTTCTCTCAAGTGCTGCTGCTTGTTTTAGTTTGTTTGTTTTGTTTTTCCCTGCTTGGAAAAATCTGAAGCTAGAAATAACCAGCGAGAGTCCTTGCAGAATTCATCGTTTTGTTGGTTTTTTTTTTTGTAGCCCACACTTCTGTACACTTCTATGCCGCTCCTGGAGGAACAATGCCAGATTGTGTTTGTTTGAAAAATGAGAATATTTGAAGTTTATTAAATATGAAAATATGAGTCTTTAAGTTGTAAATAATGCAGTAATATCCTTTCTATTTTCCAAATAAGCAATTTATAGTCTTTCTCCTTGGGTTCATTTTTTTTCCCCTTGGTAAATATATCTTGCTGCCTTGAAAACATGATTAGAATTGACTGAATGTTAATCTATCCCTGTAACACGCTTTCAATATCCAGCTTTTTTTCCTTGAGCATGTACAAATCTTTTCCTTGTAGTTGTGAATATTTCTTTCATGTCAGAACTTCACAATGGTTGTGTCCAGTTCTATTAAACTGTAATAAGATTGTGCCCAATAATTTTTATGAGCACAGTCTGTAGAGCTGGGTAAAAATATCTTAACAATAGTATTCACAAGAAGCATAAATGAGTTGTGTGCTAGAAGCTGGGGAGCGGAGCTTGAATATCTTTGGCTTCTAGGAAGGTTAATGAATTGGTTTCAGGCGCACAGCGTTCTGGAATAGCTAAAATCACCCAGAGGGTTTCAAATATTATTGTGGCTATGTCACGCATGGCAGCTGGTAGGCTGACAGATTTTTCTCCTTCTATTTTACTAAGACATCTACTCCATTTGGACAGAGCAAAAGGTAATTCCATGTTGTTTTAATGAGCTGGGATCAAAATTACTCTCTTGTGGGCCCCAATCACACGATACACAAATGCACTGATCAGACATTATAGGGCAATTTAAAATAGACAGCCGAATATGAACTCGAGACCAAACCACTCCTCTCTAGACATGCACCAAAATCATCTCAATTTGAAGAAAATCTGTTCTGTAGCAAAGGCCTGTAGGGAATGTGATTGTGTGTCCCATTCTTTGCCTGGTATCCATGTTTGCAAATCTTCTTGTAGGGAAATGCTTCCTTATATTTTATCAAAATCCCTGTGTGGAAGCCTAAGCCCCACCACTTCCTCTTACAGATGTGCTTAAGACATGATGCAGCTGCCACTACCAGATGGCCCTCAACACACACACACACACACACACACACACACACACACACACACACACCTTGGGCTCATTTAGAGATAGCCAGCTTCTCCAGTCTTTGCCTCTCCACCCCATCAGCAAGAAGAAAATGCTTCACCTCATACTACCCCCTTTACCCTCTTACCTTGAACGTTACTCTCTTATTATATCTTTAGGGCTGAATCTCTCCACTTGCCTCTAATTATTTCCTCATGACTAGTGTCCAGAACTAAAATTCCAAGGCTGAAAGGTAAGCACATTTTAAATATTTGATTTTTTACTCATGTTGCCCCCTTACTCCTGACAAGCATTGCAACTGGTTGTGTGAAGAAAGAAGCTTTCCTAACTGGTCTTCTTTTCTGTGAGATGGGATACTTTTTCACATATTGGCCATTTGTCTGCACACATGAGCAAGAATTTTATTTGCCCTTTTTATTCATATTTGCATTGTTATTTCCATTATATGTAATGGAGGTTTATTTTTATTTTGGAGAAATTAACCTTTCCTGAGAGCATATTATCTATATGACTCTTCCAGCTGTTGCTGGCTATTTAAGTCCAGTCATATTTGAAACACACAGAAGGTTTTTTTTCATGTTTATGTTGCTAAATTTATAAGTTGGCAGTCTGTGAGTCAGAGAGGAGATGGAGCCCATTTACAGCCATTTACAGCCTCACTATGCTCTCTTTCTTGCTGCCTTTTGTTATTGTGATGGAGCAAGGCCAGCTTGAGGAGGTGACATTTGCCCGAAGTTCTCAAGGAGGTGCACACATGTCAGGGGAAAGGGACCACCAGTGTGAAAACCACGTGCTCAGAGGTTTTCCGTATTGTCTGAGTTTCAACATATGCACCAATGTGTGTGAGTCACAAGATGAGAGCAATATGAAATGAATTCAGGAGAAAATATGGCTTAGGTTATATAGGACCTTCAAGGCAGGTTAGATCCTTTACCCTAAGAGATGGGAAACGTGAGAGCTTCAAGTAGAGGAGGTATGTGACCTTGCTTTCATTTTAACAAGAAAATTCTCCATTGTTTGAAATAGCGTAATCTCTTCTTTTCAAGTTATTTGCTGAATTATCTATTTTTACAGAACTGTAAGCCTACTCTAATGATATAGGACACATAAATTATGAAATTTTTATGTACACCCATGCTTAATTTCTGAATTTTCACTTTTTCTGTTTTAGTTTCTTCTTGCATCAGTATAATACTGTTTTAATCACTGAACTTTACAGACACTAAAATATAGTTGGATAGATTCTTTTATTTCACTCTTTTCTCAAAATATTTACCTCCGGTACACTTTTTTTCTCTATATGTTTAAAAAATTTCATTGGCTTTTGATTTCTGTAAGTTAACACAGTTGTGTTGAAAATGAATTAAAAACCTGTGCTGTACATCTTCCAGTGGTCCAGTCCTTAACATCCTCTGGTGAGGTTTTATTATGTCTTACATATCACTCCTTATCTTTTTCGGTTTATCTTTTGACTTTAAGATACTGTGATGCCTCTCTTAACCTGATTACAGTGTTAGAAAGATTACACACCTTATATTAAATAATTCTAAGGAGGGCTTATGGTCTCCTGTTTCTCTTGCCACTTGCTCTTTACACACAGGAGCTTCTTCATATGTGGGAACAGTGAGACTTTGGTTTTGGGCACGTCTGGATTTCAGTCCCAGTTCTGGCACACGCCTTGCTTTGGATGTCTGTTTACTGTGCTGCATTTGAGCCTCAGTTTCTTAGATGGCAGGATGCTAATCATCTCTTATAGTGGTTTTGTGGAGACGAAATGAGGTGACCTGTGTAAGTTGCAGCACAGGCCACGACTAAATATATTCTCCCTCCCTGACATCTTTAACAATTTGTTTTTCCAGGAAGGCTGGAAATCTATACTTAACCCACCATGTCAGATCTACAATAACACACAAAAACCAGATGACATTTCTGGATGGGGTTTAAACTTTTTTATTAAACTTATTATTATTGTTAATTTAAATTTTGGGTTTCTGAGACCGATTTCTCTATGTAGCCCTGGCTGTTTTTAAACTTGTCATGTAGACCAGACTGGCCTGAAACTCAGAGACCTGACAACCTCTGTTTCTCGAGTACTGGAATCTAAGGCATGCACAACCAACCACAGCTGACAGTTTATTTTATTTTCCATTTTCTCAGTCTTAAATAACCTTGTTCTTCCTAAATTAGTTGGAAGTGTTGATAAATAATAATGTAAAAATGATCTTTTGCAATAGAAAGCAATTTTTAAACTCAGGTGCTCCCGCCATCTGTCCTATTAGTCCATTTACAGAACTTCCCACTTCCACCAACTGGGGAAATTGAGGGCATTTCCCTCAGAAGATCACACTGCCTTGAAATGATAGCCTGGCCCTTCTGTTCTCTGGGGTAGCATTGGTTTCAGTGCCATGAAAGGGTCAGCCATTTGAATGAAGAAAACAAGACTTACAACAAGGTTAGGGGTTTGGAGTATCAAAGGTGTACAGGATAGTTAACTATTAATCTTATTTAACCCAGTCCGTTTGACTCAGCTAAACCCATCTGTCAGGTTATTCTTTTTGCTTTTGGCTTCCTTTTATTCGAGCCTGATGTTCGTGTTCCTTGATTTTTGACTTTAACTCCTACTGCGAGGGTAAGCTAATTCTCGTGCTTGTAAAAGCTGATGAACAGAGAAGCAAAGTCCTTTTCTATCTGCAATAAGAATTCACTCCAGACTTCAGACATACACTGCTCTCTTCTGATTTGACAGCTTTCTTCCGATGATGCAAACAGTACTGCCCAGGTGAGCCTCTGATGTGTTTCTCATCTACTTTCCTCCAAAAGGCTTCATCTGTTTCTGTCTCAGGACCTGTCAGCAGTCTGATGGACTTGGCAGTTCCCAGCCTCATTATGGCTACCCTCCCACTCTCATTTACTACAAGATGTAGCACCTGGCTCCACATTGCCACCCGCAGAATGGTCACATCTTTCATTTATGAAGCCAGTGGGGCTTCAGCTGTATACCTTCCTCCTGCTATTATCTTTCTTGAACTCTGTTAGTCCAAATAAGCAATTGGTACAATGATACTGGTCTTACTTGGCTCTATCATGCATGACTAGGTTTGTGAAGTATTCTTGTTCTACCCAACACTATGTGGTTTCTCTTTCCTCATAATCATGTAACTGTATATTTGTTCCTAAGTAAGGTGGAATTCTCCCTTGTATGATGCACCATACACTTAAGCATGATATAGGTATTGAGAATGCAAAACTGAGCAAGGCAGAGTTGCTGTCACCAGGAATACCAGCATAGATGGACAGGCATGTAAAGCAACTAGGGGTAGCCTGTTGAAAACAATTACAGCATCAAGTAGCTGTAAATTATTTCCAGAGATCCTTCAAATGCACTGGATAAAATTATTCTCTTCCTTTGAAAGAATTCATGACTTTAAAAACTCAATTGCCCAAACCAGCAGAGCAAAGGGGACCGTTGAGTAGGGTTAGAGAGGGTTACAGCAGGAGAATGAACAGGGAGAATAAGAAAAATGGGGATGAAGAAGGAGGTAGATACAGAAAGAAAGGGATAGAGGAAGGATGAATTATGCAAAGGATATTTGAGCAACTCTCCTGTGATTACATTACTTTATATTTACCTAAACTATATATGATACATATAAGTATTTCTACACATACATCTTAAATGAAGTTATGCCACTTAGGCTGACAAGGCTCCCCAAAAGAGCCATAGAATATGAAACAGAATCCCCAGTTTCTGGCACAAGAAAACAAAATTTAAAAACTTCCATTTGAGTTGTTGGGCAAGATAGTCTAAATGACTCCCATGACAATGTATGTTATTGCTGTTGCAGTTGACTGTGGGTAAGTCCCTCTGGATCTGTGTATGTTGGACACAGGAGGAAAATCCTCTAGCAACTATCTGAAACTAGCAAGTTCATGAATCCTAAAGAAGAACTTACTACTGCACTTTTATTAGGAAAGCATAATTTCTAACCGCATTCTAAAGCTTATATTTATACCCACAGGTAAATGTACCTTTGACTCTTATTTTAAGAATCATCTCTTTGCATTAAATGGAGACCATTACAAAAAACCACAACTGGTCATAATGAAGAGATCAGCTTATTGTGTGGTGCCTACTTGAAATCTATGGTTTAAAATTAGAATTCAACAGCAACACTAATTTCAGAAAGCCCACAGACACATAGAAATTAAACAGTGTTCCATTGAACCGTCCCTTGGTCAAGGAAGAAAGAAAGAAAGAAATTAAAGGCTTCCTAGAATTCCATGAAAATGAAGGCATGACTTACCCAAACCTATGGGACACTATGAAAGCTGTGTTAAGAGGAAAGTTGGTAGCACTAAGTGCCTACATAAAGCAACTGGAGAGAGCACACAGTAGTGTCTTAACAGTGCACCTGAAAGCTCTAGAACAAAAAGAAGCAGACTCACCCAAAAGGAGGAAAAGACAGGAAATAATCAAATCAAGGGTAGAATCAAGAAAACAATACAGAGAATCAATGAAACAAAGAGCTGGTTCTTTGAGAAAATCAACAAGATAGACATACCCTTATCCAAATTAATCAAAAGACAGAGAGAGAACACCCAAATTAACAAGATCAGAAATGAAAAGGGGAACATAACAATGAGGAAATCCAGAGAATCATTAGGTCATACTACAAAAACCTGTACTCCTCAAAATTGGAAAATGTAAAAGAAATGGACAGTTTTCTGGATAGATACCACATGCCCAAAATAAATTAAGACCAGTTAGACAGTTTAAATAGACCTATAACCTGCAAGAAAATAGAAGCTGTTATCAAAAGCTTCCAAACCAAAAATTCCCAGGGCCAGATGATTTCAGTGCATAATTCTACCAGAACTTCAAAGAAGAGCTAATACCTATACTCCTCAAAGGGTTTCACACAATAGAAACAGAAGGAACACTGCCAAACTCCTCTTATGAGGCTACAGCTACCTTGATACCAAAACCCACAAAGACGTAACCAAGCAAAAGAATTACAGACCAAACTCACTCATGAACATAGATGCAAAAATATTAAAAAAAAATACTTGCAAACTAAATTGAAGAATACATCGAAAAAAAGTCCCCCACCGTGATCAAGTCAGCTTCATCCCAGTGATCAGGGATAGTTCAACATATGAAAATCTATTAATGTAATCCATAATATAAATAAACTGAAAGAAAAAACCTTATGATCTTATCATTAGATGCTGAAAAAGCATTTGACAAAGTCCAGCACCCCTTCATGTTAAAGCTCTTGGAGAGATCAGGGATACAAGGATCATATCTATACATAACAAAAGCAATATTCAGCAAGCCGACATCCAACATCAAATTAGTGTAGAGAATCTCAGTGATTCCACTGAAATCAGGACCAAAACAAGGCTGTCCACTCTCTCCATATCTATCCAACATAGTTTTTGAAATTCTGACTAGAGAAAAAAGACAACAAAAGGAGATTAAGGGGATTCAAATTGGAAAGAAAGAAGTCAAACTTTCATTATTTGCAGATGATATGATAGTACACATAAGTGACACCAAAAACTGTTCTAGGGAATTTCTACAATTGATAAATACATTCAGTAAGGTGGCAGGATATAAGATCAACTAAAAATAAATCAGTAGCCCTCCTATATATGAATGATAAAGAAGCTGAAAAAGAAATCAGAGAAATATCAACTTTCACAGTAGCCACAAATAACATAAAATATCTTGCCAAAGAAGTGAAAGACCTGTTTGACAAGAACTTTAAGTGCTTGAAGAAAGAAATTGAAGATACCAGAAAAGGGAAAGATCTCCCATGCTCTTGGATAGGTAGGATCAAGATAGTAAAAATGGAAATCCTACCAAAAACAATCTATAAATTCAATGGAATCCCATCAAAATCTCAACACAATTCTTCACAGACCTTGAAAGAACAATACTCAATTTCATATGGAAAAACAAAAAACTCAGAATAGCTAAAAACAATCCTGTACAATAAAGGAACTTCTGGAGGCATTGCCATCCCTGATATCAAGTTCTGTTATAGAGAGCTACAGTAATGAAAACAACTTGATATTGGCATAAAAACAGAGAAGTTGACCAATAGAATCAAATTAAAAACCCAGATATTAATCCACATACATATGAACAATTGATTTTCAACAAACTAAAATTATACAATGGAAAAAAGAAAATATCTTCAAAAATGGTGCTGGCATAACTGGATTTCAACATGTAGAAGAACTTGGATTAAAGACCTCAATATAAATCCGACCACACTGACCCTGATAGAAGAGAAAGTAGAAAGTAGTCTTCAATGCATGGACACAGGAGTCCACTTTTTAAATATAACACCAATAGCACAGACTCTGAGAGTATCAATAAAGAAATAAGACCTCCTGAAACTGAGAAGCTTCTGTAAGACAAAGGACAGAGTCAATCAGACAAAAAGGCAGCCTACTGAATGGGAAAAGATCTCCACCAGTCCCACATCAGACAGAAGACTGATCTCCAAAATATGTAAAGGACTCAAGATATTAGACATCAAAATTCCAAATAACCTAAATAAAAATGGGTTACAGAACTAAACAGAGAAATCTCAACAAAAGAATCTCAAATGACCAAAAATCACTTAAAGAAATGTTCAACATCCTTAGCCATCAGGAAAGGCAAATCAAAACAACTCTGAGATACCATCTGATACCAGTCAGAATGACTAATATCAAAAACACCAATGATTGCTTATGCTGGAGAGGATGTGAAATAAGCGAAATACTCATCCATTGCTGGTGGGGATGCAAACTTGTACAACCACTCTGGACATCAGTATGGCGATTTCTCAGAAAACTGGAATCCACCTACCTCAGGAACCCACAATACCACTCTCTGGCATATACCCCAAAGATAATCCTACTAAAAGAACATTTGTTCAACTACATTCATAGCAGCATTATTTGTAATAGCCAGAATCTGGAAATAACCTAGATGCCCCTCAACCAAAGAATGGATAAAGAAAATGTGGCACATTCCCCTCCCCTCCCCCCACTGCTGCCGGCCCTTTGTCTCCTGAGTCCTGGGAAGACCAGCTAGCCCTGTTGCCCTGCTGAGCAGTTCTTCCTGGAGAGGTGAGTGGGTGCTAGCCTGGGCAGCCTGCCTGCCTCTCTGGGAAGGGAAGACAGCCCTTCCCCCCTCAGCTTCTGCGGCAGGGTCTTCGGTGTTCCAAGGGACCCCTCCCCTCCCCCCACTGCTGCGGGCCCTTTGTCTCCTGAGTCCTGGGAAGACCAGCTAGCCCTGTTGCCCTGCTGAGCAGTTCTTCCCAGAGAGGGCTGAGGAGCTCTATCCAGAGAGTGCTGTGAAGTCCTACCCAGAGAGTGCTGAGGAGTTCTATCCAGAAAGTGCTGAGGAGTTTCATCCAGAGTGGGGGAGATGGGCAGGCGCCAATGCAAGAATTCCTCCAACAACCTGAAAGGCAACATGACATCGCCAGAATCCAGGGAGCTCGAAACTAGAAGAATTGAACACCCTACTCCAGAAGAAATAGAAGAAATCGACTCTAAGCGCTTCTTTATGAAAATAATAGAGGAACTTAAACAGGAGGTGAAAATCTGCCGTAAAGAAATGGAAGATAAGTATAACAAAAAAATTGAGGAAATGAGTAAAGAAATGGAAGAGAAATATACCAAAAAGTTTGAAGAAATGAGTAAATCCGTAAATGAAATTCTGGGAAACCAAGAAAAAACAATCAAACAGGTAATAGAAACAGTTCAAGATTTGAAAACTGAAATGGAGTCAATGAAGAAATCACAAACCGAGGGCCGGCTGGCTATGGAAAATCTGGGTAAACGAACAGAGACTTCAGAAACAAGCTTAACCAATAGAATACAAGAGATAGAAGAGAGAATCTCAGACTCTGAGGACACCATAGAGAAATTAAACACTCTGTCCAAAGAAAACAGCAAATCCAACAAATTCTCATCACAAAACATTCAGGAACTGTGGGACACAATAAAAAAACCAAATCTAAGAATAATAGGAGTAGAAGAAGGAAAAGAATTGCATTTCAAAGATCCAGAAAATATACTCAACAAAATTATAGAAGAAAACTTTCCCATCCTAAAGAACGATATTCCTATGAAGGTTCAAGAAGCATACAGAACACCAAATAGACTGGATCAGAAAAAAACATCCCCTCGTCATATAATAATCAAAACACAAAGCATTCAGACTAAAGAAAGGATATTGAGAGCTGCAAAGGAAAAAGGTCAAGTAACTTATAAAGGTAAACCTATCAGACTTACACCAGACTTCTCGATGGAAACCATGAAAGCCAGAAGGTCCTGGATAGAGGTACTGCAGAAACTAAGAGACAATGGATGCAAACCCAGACTACTTTACCCAGCCAAGCTATTGTTCACTATCAACGGAGAAAACAAAATATTCCAGGATAAAAACAAATTTAAACAATACGTAGCTACTAATCCAGCCTTACAGAGAATACTAGAAGGAAAATCACAACCCAAGGAATCCAACATTCCCAACACTGCCTACATTAACTCAGACATCTAGCGACCCTTCACAAGCACAACTCAAAGAAGGAAAACACATACACGCTACTACCCAAAAAAATGACCGGAGTCATCGATCACTGGTCATTAATATCACTTAATATCAATGGTCTCAACTCACCTATAAAGAGGCACAGACTTAGAGATTGGATACGAAAACAGGATCCAACATTCTGCTGTCTACAAGAAACACACCTCAACCACAAAGACAGACACCTACTCAGAGTAAAGGGTTGGGAAAAGGTTTTCCAAGCAAATGGACCTAAGAAACAAGCGGGTGTGGCCATTCTAATATCTAACAAAATAGACTTCAAACTAAAATCAATCAGAAGAGATGGAGATGGACATTTCATAATCATAACAGGAACAATTCATCAGGAAGAAGTCTCAATCTTGAATATCTATGCCCCTAATATAAAGGCACCCACATATGTAAAAGAAACTCTTCTAGAACTCAAGGCAGTCATCAAACCACACACACTAATAGTAGGAGACTTCAACACT